AGAATTGGACGCTTAGCCCAGATCATGCGATTTAACGCTGTTGTTATTTCGGTTTTTTTGACGTCTAAGGTTTATTTCAACAAGCACACGACCACCCACGCCTTGACATTTTTGTAAAATAAGCATTGAAAATTTTTAAAAGAATTTGTGTGTTAGCAAACTCGTGGTGGCCATTAACCCGATTTGCTATTCCATACATAACCCTATACTATATAAATCAATAAAAATTTTACAAGTTTTTTATATAAACCTGGTTTTTCTATCAAAATTACTTCTTGCGTGAATTTTGGTACACTCTTTATAATATTCTGCTAATTTTGTATTTTAATGAAGAAAACGAAAACAGGAAATTACCAATGAAATTTACCAATTTTCATAATAATTTCAACAATAATTCAATAAATACAAGTCTTGAAATCCTTATATAGCATAGTCAAATTTCTCTTTTAATGTGACCTTGGATATTGCAAATCATATACAAAATAATCCGAAATAAAACTCTTCGTACATGTTAAATACTGATTTATGCATATTTTTTTGGAATCATTCCAAAAATGATTTATTCAAAAGGATTTTTACTAATTAATTTCACTTAAATCTTTTGCTAATTTTGTTCATTTAAATAATTTTCGTTTGTGTATAATTTTTAAATGAAGGCTCCGATTCAATATTCGATGTTAATCGATAAATAAATTTTTATAAGGTTTGCATAAGAAAATGAATTTGGAATATTTTAAATGATTAAAAAATTTAAGATGAGATCCTTCTATTTGATATAACTATTCTGACAATCATGAGTCAAATATCATATGGCTACAGTATTTGGTTCTAAATAAGTTTATAATTAGTGCTAAATCGAAATGATTTAAAAATTTTCAAAAATCCGTCTTAAGAGGAAAATTTCTATAACAATGTAATATTATGTAAGAATTAAAAAAATATTATTCTTAGAGGTATTGGTATGAAAAGCTCTTCTTAAGGTGGAAAACACTTAAATATTAAATAATAAATTTAGAATTATCCAGAAAATAAATTTACAAAATTAATTTTAAAAACGAGAAAAAATAGAGTCGATCGCAGGTACCAGGTACCCGAACCAGTACGCCATTTTAGGGATGGACAGACAAAACTAAATCGACTCAGAATTCGACGCTGATCAAAAACATACACCTGAGTCTATATCTCAGACCATTTCAAACGGTAAGGTTTCAAACGGTAAGGCAAATAATTTAGTATATTCTTCGAACATTCGTACGGTATAATAAACACCCACAGAATGATCAACTTTCTCTTATTAATTATAATTCTCTCAATTCTAATAATGTACAATTTCCAAGTATACATAACAATTAGTTACATAATATGCAACTTATTACAATTCGATTTCCTAAAAATAAACATCACTGTAAATTCCAATTTGAAAGCGTGGTTTTTATTTATTCTTTTATCTATAAATTGGAAATTATTTTTAATTATTATTGTGAATGTTTTCGGTGGAAAAATTTTTACATGTAAAAATAATTGCTTAATTTATATCAAAAATTTCCAAACTTTAAATAAATTTTAATTGTTAGATAATATTGGAAAAATAATACAAAAAAATTTATATTATTACGCAGAAATTTAATGACTAACAATAATTTGATTTGATAAGTTCATTATAGGTAAATCATAAGAAAACAAATTGATTCCATTGATTACAGTATATTTAGAGCTTTATAGTGCGCCCGTTACTTAGTATAGTATAATAATTAAATATTGCTTAAAGCGCCGTTTAAAACTATTTAAAAACGCCGATAGAATATTATTATTTGAGTTTTGATTTGAAAGACAATAATTTTTGTAAGCTTATGAGCACACGAGTATTCTCGGAATGTATCATTATAATCATAAATAATAAAATAATTTGATATTCAAAATCTTCAAATAATAAATAAATAAATATGAAGAGATTAAAAAAAAATTGTAATAAAAAATCAATAATTTTATTGATAAATTTTTAATTGTTCTCTCTAAAACTTGAATAGTGTGTGAAATTTTGGTAGGTGATTGGTAACTTTTTCTAATGGGTTAACAAAACTCTTTTCGAAATATGTCTGCCAAAGCAAACACGTTCTCAAATTTGCCTAATAGATGTTTTGCCGTGTCGCTATCTTGGGTGGTCCTAGGAGATAGTATCAACTAGTATACCTAACCTGTAATCTTTGAACAACTCAGGTTGTCTATTTCTCGCCCCACTCTACCTTTTTTATTCGGTTATGAATTTTTTAATGTGAGAAAATCACACGCGTCTTGAACGGTTCTACTTCTAACCGTTCAAGACGCGCATAATCTATGTGCCCAGAACCAAAAATTTTTTAGTTCTCCAGAATTAATCTATTCCATAACACTCAAAAGTTCAGTTCTTAATTTTTAATTATTGTTAAAATAAAAGAACTAGAAGAAGAGAGGTAAGAAAAGCTATTCAAGAACTAGGTTGTTTCTATCACTCCACTGACACTCCTACTCATTGGCCTACTGGCACTAAAATGGTTTCTAAGTGAAAAAATAACACGCTTCGCCACTGTTAACAGCAAATGGCAGTTGGGCGAGGAGCAATATAGAGAAAGCCGAATTATTTGCTGATCACTTAGAAAGCATATTCACACCAAACGAAATAACATCAGATGTGAGTTTAGTAGAATCTATCGCAAATGAAGCAAGAACCATAGCGCCACTTACTGAAGTAGAAATTGCGGAAGAGATAAGATTTATGAAGTTAAAAAAATCGCCAGGTTTTGATCTTATTACTGCGGAAGTACTAAGAGCTACCAGAAGAGGTTTTGAAATATTTGATGAAAATCATGAACGCAGCTATAGATTTTGAGTATATTCCTTGTGCTTGGAAAGTGGCAGAAGTAATAATTAACACAAAATACCAATTTCCTTATGGAAGGTAATGTTTGGTCTGCAGGACCAGTTTTACCCGTTCAGAGTTTAGGTGACTTTTTAGGGCAGAAGTCACGTCCCCAACTTTCGGAGGGAAAAGGCAGGTACCGCCTTTCGGGATTTTTTCATTAAGTAGAAAATCAAAATATAAGAAGCTTAAATATCTTATAGATCAAGTCAACATTGTCAATTTCCAGTTCTAAATCATTCAGAATTTTAATTGAATAGTAAAAGAGATTAAAAATATAATTTTCAGCTCTTAATAAATTTTCATGTCATTTATACTTACTATTTATATTTTACACTTCTTATCAAATACAAAAACCAGATAATGTGTCGAGTTTCGAAAGCACTACAACGTGTGTTTGTTTATTTAAATTAGTATACTTAAATGCTATGCAAAGATATTAAAGATTAAATTATTTTACTCAATATTAATGACGTATTTTTAAAATTTTGCAATTTTCATTTTATGTTACCAAAACAAAAAAACAAACTAATTATTTCATATGTAAACTGAATTTTTTAAGACTAATTATTATAATACAGTTATGTGTAGTATGTACGTTAATAATTATTTAATTAGTTTATTACATATTCATAAATGCTATTCATAAAGGTAAATAGATCTGAATTTAGTATATATTAGTTTATGCAATGTTATAATTTAAAGTGTGCGAATATGAACTGATAACTCTTAGAACTAATTGTAATGAACTTGTAAAATAACAAAAAAAAAATTATATCATCATAATTATTATATATTGAGAGATTAGAGATGACTGAGTAACTTAGTTTAGTAACTAAGATGAAGAATCAATAAGATAAAAATTATATCAATAGTTTGTCAACGTGTGTTTAAAAATATATAATAATTATAAAATGCCCAAGAAATTTCGGTTGAAGAACTATTACCATAACCACTATTATATGGCTCATTTATAATTTTATAAAAAATAAAAGGAAAGGCATTCAAATTTTAGTTCTTTCAAACTTTACATAGTAGCTTGTAGGTAGTACCTTGTTAGGAGGCCCGTGAGCCTGGTTTCCTCCATGCCAGCGTCTTGTAAGTCGAGGTTGGAATCACCATCATGGCATACATCAACCCTATTAGGAACGAGGAGCAAATCCATGCTCTTCCTAAGATGGTAGCCTATGAAACTACTGCTCCGTTATGCTTTCTGTATAAAAGCTGAATATAAAAAATTACTCATAATTATTTCACTTCATTTTTCATCTCTACCTATTCTCCATTTACGTGGATCGCACGCAGTTGGCCGAGCCTTTTTCTCATAATGAAGGGTACCTAACACTGCGGCTTTCTCCACCAATGTTGGATCATCGGCAGATACTTTTACACAATGTCGCATAGGACGCTCTCCATTCACGAACCAGGCTCCACATCAGAGGAGACGATATCGTACCCTGTCGATACCCTCTGCCCAGGTGTATTCTTATAGTTCTTTGTCTCACCTTAACCTCTGCCGGTCTTGTAGTAATGTTAACCATCCATAACCAGGTCGCATCCAAGTAAGCCCATGTCCCACTCACTATGACTCCACCTATTGCATCATGAAAATTGTTGTCGAAGGCGCTGTTAATAACTATGATGCTCATTTCGCTTTTTCACCATGTTCAAACATCTTTCTTAGAACATTTGTCAGTTAATAAAACAAGTGCCAGTCCAGCAAAACCGACGCCCTAATATGGGCAGCCGATCCAATCCTGGCATCGAGGTTCATTGGCCATCCCAGTCCCTTCATCTCTCCTCAACAAAGGCTTTCGGTAGGGGGATGATCTTCCTCTTCTTGATGTTTGGTAGGGGAGATGATCTTCCAATTCTTTTTGAGATAGCTTTTTAATGCCAAGAAGAGTTAGCTCCAGCATCTCCGTTATCGATTGTGAAGGAAGATTGCCTTAAATCTACCAACAAAAGCTTAGTCTTCTAATCATACCACGAAGGGAAAGCGAAGAAAAAGTTTTTGAACAGCCTCAACTGTTTAAAAGACTCGGATTGCTTAAAGTTATAGTGCGTAGGTATAGGTAATGTATTTCACGATCCTTAGACTTAGTTGTTGTTGATTTCTAGAGTCCCTTTGATACGTAGAATTGTTGAATTGGTTCTCCCCTGCAGAGTTTATTTGGAAGATCTTAATCTGTTTTATACATACCCAACAAATGAAAATTTTTTGCTTTTTAATATTCGCAATTCTTCTATAAAAATTGAATTTTTTAAGAACTTTTAGAAGGTTATAAAAAATGAATTTTTTTTTTTCAGACTAAACTTAATTATTAAAAAACAATTATTTTATATAAATGTAAAATAAAGAAAAACGAAAGAGGATAAATTACAAAATGCGAGAAAATTCAGTAAATTATTATGGTAGAGCAAAACCTAAAACAGTTTATAGATCACTTCATTCATCTTTACTTGCTTTAATAGATATATTATTTTCTTCATTAATAATAGCACCATTAGTTATTAGTTATTGGCGTGGAACATGGGAATTATTGGGTCATTATATTATGCCACATCAAATATTATTTTCAGCTTGTTTATCCTTTTTTATTGGATTATTTGGTCATTCATTGTTTGTAATTGGACAGCAATTTTTAGCAAATGCTCTTAATCCGGATCGTGTTCGTTTAACATATTATGTTATATCAAGATTTTATACATATGTTTATGGTTCAATATGTGTTAATGGATGGCGTGGAGCATGGATTCTAGTTGATTTATTTACTGGAAATACTCAATTATGGACCGTAGCTCTTGTTACTTTAATAGTAATATTGTTACTTGCTGGTACAAGAGGTTTTAGAAATTGCTGTGCAACACCATTTGCATTAATAACAGATTATAGAGATGGATATTTTGAAGTTGCGACAATGTTTAAGACGCTGGTGAGAAAATTTTGTTCTTCTTTTTAGAAATTTTATTGTTTTTTTTTTACAGTTGTATAACACATATTATTTATTTATTTATAATTTTTTCTTTGTGTACTTATAAAAATTAATAAGCTTCGATAGATCTTTTATTTACAACGTGGAGCCTCTTAATGAATTTTAAATAGGTACTCGTATATATTGAAATTTATAATCTTCCAATTTGTTATAAGAAAGCGCTCATTTATAGCTAAAAATGAATAATTATTTGTTTACAAAAATTATTTGTTTTAACTTTTATCAAGAGCAATTGTACTGCACAAAGAGAGTCGCCAGTAGTAAAATTTTTGATTATTTCCGTGCAAAAGATTATCTACTTTGTTTTGAAAACAATAATAATAAATATGTATATAACATAATAAAAAAATTAATAAAACATTAAAAAACAATTATGTACGAGTATATATATACATTGAAATTTATTAAATTTTATTTCACAAAGTTCTCAATTAATATTAATTATTTGAAACTGTTAATTCTCATGATAAGCTTTTCAACGATTATAAACTCGAGTGTTAAATGATTATATACCTTAAAGAGTTTATATTACTTTAAAATTAAATTCTTATAAAATTATAGTCCTAATGCTCTGCCATTATACCACTTGAGTGTGCTATAAATTGAAGGTATTCTCAGATTATTTAACTTATTTTATGGAGAACGTCTTAATTTAAGTAATAAAGATTTAAATTTGAAAGAAGAATAGGGAGAAGGAAAAATCATATCAAAAATTTCTAATCATGTATAACTTCTTTTAAACGTTTAAATCATAACTTTCTGTTATCATCTGTTATAATTAACATTTGTTGAAACTGTTATACACATACAATATTAACTGTTATACACATATAATCTCAACTGTTATACACATGTTATTTCTAATAAATATACAATTTCTTTGAACTTCATTTTAGTTTAATTGAAATTGAAATTATTTTGTATTATTATACCATATATTAAATAGACTGTTATACATATTTTTATTTAGTAACAATAGCACTATGAGTTCAATTTAAATTTTATTTTATTTTTTTTTAGAAAACAAGCCAATTTTAGTCTCATTATATTATAATAACTAAAAGAGAAAAAAATATAACAATATAAAAAAATTGATGGTGTAATGATTTTGCGAAATTATGAAGCTTTAAATTTTTCTTATCAAAATTTATTTTTGTACTTTTGCTTTAATAAATGTTTGAAATTAAAAAATTGAAAAAAAAAAAGTTTTATACAGATATCAAATGATTTGTTGTGTCTTTTCTTATATATTTTAAACTGTCTGACCTACCTTTTGTCTTCTGAATCATTTGAGCTTTATATATTTACCTATATATATTTTTTGTTATATATTGTTCTTATTTAATTATATTTTATATATTGCTACAATATATACCGTTATACATTATCATTATCAATAGATTGTATAGTATTTCAATTTGTTCTTTTTTTTATTTCTTTTAAATCGTAAGTTTTTTGTTATATTTAGTCGCAATTAATTTATATATGAATGTATAATTTTTTTTTTGTTTATTTAAAAGGGATCCAAAGAACCTGGTTTATATGTTTTGGATTGTTTATTCTCTGTTTTAATTGTCGGAACTTTAGTTGTTGTAGCGTGGCGTGGAGTATGGGTAATGTTAGATTTAACATTATATCCAACAAGTAAAGCACTCTCTGGATGGGGCTCTCTGGTAAGTATCACTTTTACTTTATATCAGATTTCGATACATACTTAAATTTTTTAAAAGAATAAGGCTAAAAATTCTACTTTTAATATAGATTTTAATATATAACAATATACAGATATACTTTTTCATAACAATATACTGTTATACATTTTCATATATTAATAATGTTTAAAGCATGTAATATAACTATGTAATCATATATGTATAATGTTGCATATTATAATATAGTGTATACTCACATATATTGTAATATCAAAATTTTTTAATCTATACTAATTTACCTATACGCTACTCATGTAATAGATAAGTGTAATTCTAATAAGGAACAACATGAGACATGAATGTTGTATATTATTGCAATTATTTATAATATTCAAGTGCATAACAAATAAATGCTTCACATACAATAGAAATTTTTGACTTACTATATATACAATTATATGTATAACAATTTATTTAGTTTTCAGTCTATATATATGAAAACCTTTTTGCTATTTCACATCCGCATATTTATTTTATTTAATTAAATATTTTTTTTTTATATACGTTTGTAATTCAAGTCACTACTTAATGGGAATTATATTTTGCCTTCAAAATTATAAAATTTATTACAGTTATTTTAATAGATTTTTTTAGCTTTAAAATTTTTATTTCTATTATAAATAGAAATTTTTCTAATCTGAATTCTAAATTACAGGTAATTGGCCTGTGTAGTCTGCTTGCTTAGTGAGTAAAATTATAATTGTAAGAAAGATTATGTATGGAAGTTTCAAAGTCTATCAGTAATTAATCAATATGGCATAATAATTACGTAATTGAAATTTATGCATTTATTTTTTAAAAATTGTAATCGAAATAAAGCAATGATTTTCAAAGTAGCACATTTTTTTTAAAATGTAATTTCATTTATTAAAAAAGAGAAATTGTTAAAAATTGCATGTCATTAGGCGAAAAACAAAAAAATTTAGAAATATTAATTTAAATTAATGCTTAGGCGGTTTAATTGTTTAAACACATAGTAATAGTTCTCGGAAGTTAGAAGTCATGTGGAAGGGCACCATATTTTAAGTTAGTAAAATGAACTACTCGGTCATATCACCATTTGGTTTTCTTATATACTTATATCTAATATGAGACTGTCCTTTTCTGATTAGAAGAATAAAGCTGCTATGTTGTTAAATTTTTTGCGGAATTCAGTAAATTAATATGATTCCAACAAAATTAGACCTAAAAAATATGGAATTTTTCGATTTTTGGGTGCATTATCTTTAAAAAGAACCGTGGAGAGGGAAGAAGAAGGAAAAACTGTGTTCTAAAAAATTAAAGAGTGTCAGACGGAAAAACTGACTGGTATATATAGACAGAAGAATAAACGAACATGTAGACAGACGGGCAGCTTGGAAGACAAAGAGACGGACCGGTGGACACACTGATCTGTGAGCAAATATGCTATCCGAAAGACACAGGTTCAGCAAATACACAGACAGATAGATATACGTAGGCTGACACATAACAGATAGCGTGCTATCATGGAGATGGACGAACATATTGAAAGGCAGATGAGCTAATAGAAAGAAGTCAATAATCATAATTTTTTTCATAATTGTTTTTGGAAATGTGCTTTCTTAAAAGGAAGAAAATATTTTTTAAAACTAATTTGTGCGAAATTGTCAAATTAATTTAAAATAATATTAAAATTTAAAAAATTCAATGCCACATTTTTTTTTTTATTATAAGAAGCGCTTAATTTCGTAATCTTTAGAAATGATGCTATGAGTATATGAGTGTTTTTTTTTATTGTTATTTTTAATTTATTCTTTTTTAATATATCACGTGATTCTTTGTATACAGTTAAATTTTTTTCACTATTGATTTAATTAACTATATACATATGTATATACATATATAAAAAGAAATTATCCACATATGTATATATAAATTTTAATATAGTTTCTTTTACGTCAAAAATGCCAACATAATAAAGCAAAAACAAAATTATACTAGCCATTTATATTTTACGATGGTTTTCAATTAAATTAATTTGCGGTGTAAAATTTTCTATTATTTCAATTTAAAATGTCTCTGAAATGAAATGAAATTTGCCCCAAAGATATTTTAATTCTTTTTTTTTTTGTATTTTAATTAATTCATATTCACATATACCAACGTACATGAATGTAAAAAAGTTTATTTAAATTTAATTATGTTTTTATTTATTTTATTTTTTTTTTAAATTAGATCATAGGATATATAATAGTAACGGTAACATTTGCTACACAACCAACAATACAATGGACATGTGAAAAAATCTCTGGATTATGTCGAATAATTGTTGCTGATTTATTTTTATTTATTAGCTTCCTTGGTACAGTTAATGTATGGCGAGGTGTTTGGATGTTAATCGATGTTTATTTATATTCTGGTAAGAATATATCGTAAAATTGTTGTATTATAAAACTGTTATACTATAAAAGTGTTATACTATAAAACTGTTATACTATGAAACTGATATATTATAAAACTGTTATACTATAAAACTGTTATATTATAAAACTGTTATACTATAAAACTGTTATATATAAATTGATTTCATTAGTAATAATAATTTAAATATTATTTTTTGTTTTTTTTTTTTTAGATGATCATGTTTTTAGTTGTTGGCTATCACATTCAGTATCATTTATGCTATTAATATTATTAAATTGTTCAAATTCTGTTTTAGTACGTGGTGTCTATATTGATTGTGAAGAACCGAATGGTGAATGTGTTGTTTTTCCAATACAATATGTCAGATTATTTTTTCAAAAAGAAAGATTAAAGAAACATAAAATGTATACAGATTCTCAAGAAGAAGAAAATTTAATATATGGTAATCGTAAATTAAATTGTAATGCAACAATAGTTAAAAGTGGAAATAATAATTTAAGTAATAAAATGAAAAATGATAATACAAGTATATTTAATGATATTAAACCAATTTAGTTATAATAATTATTTTTATTATTATTGTCATTATTATTATTATTTAGTATGTAAATTATTTGTTTTTTTAATTTTAAGTATTAAATATTAAGTAAAAGAAAAATTTATATTTAAATTGTTTATTTATAATTTAATTTTAATTAAATTAAAGAAAAAGAAACTAAAAAAAAAAGAAGAACCTAAAAACCAAATAAATTTTTTTTTATTACTTTTATTTTTTAAAAATTTACAATTTTACATAAAATTTTATTTACCATAGTATATAAAATAATGAATTATTCTATTTATGTATTCATGTATGTGTGTATAGTATACGAATATACTTTAAGTATTTAATGAAGTACATATGTGGGTACTATAGCTATATGAGAAAAATTAATATTGCAATTTTAAAACCTCGAACATTAAGAGAAAACATTGAATTTTATTTTGTTCTTGTTAAACATGCATATTATTATATTTATGTTTTGTATATAAATGTATTTTGTATATATTTGTATGTTCACATAAATATATGTATATGTAATGTAAATAACAAATGTAGAATTATACCAACCTCTAGTTTTTGTCCTTGATCGCAAGTAGGGGGTTCTATTGCAAATTCAAAATATTCTTTGTGCTATTTTATTTATTTTTCAAAAACAAAAACTGTATGTATATACATATTGCATATACATATATATTCATTTACAGGGTCATTAGTCAAAACATGTAATAAATATATATTGTATATAGTAATGTAGGAATATAATAGAAATATATACCCTTTACTTTATTATAATATATACTAATAAATTGTTGTTATAAGCGTATAATATGCAGACATGATTTTCATGGCAACATTTACTACACTAAGTATATTCTAAATGCAATATATGGCAGTACTATTGTCTAATTGTATACTCGTATTTGATTAATATAAAATTGAATTATTTTTTAATATTAATTTGTAAATATCAATTCAATAATTGATATAATTCTATATAAGCTTCTCGAAATAGAAAAAAAACATTTTTAATATCAACCTAGTTATTGACCAAAATCTTTACAAAATTAGAAATTCATTATTGTTCCTTTATAATATGTTTTTGTGTTTTACAAATAATATGTCATGATATTAAGATGTAAAAATGTTACAACTGTGACACTATTTTATATTTACTGCTATCACAGTATTTTGAGGCTGTTTCTTATAATATAGATAAAAAAATTACAAATTTTTTCGCCCTAAATCTTAAAATATTCAATATTAAATTTTATTTCTTTTAAATCTGGAGAGGAGGTTCTAAATTGTATTGAGAAGTCTTATTGCTAATTAAATTAAAAGACCCAATACACTTAGATAGTACAGCATTAATTTTAATCTTAAATTGTACTGTACTTGTCGGTCAATATTTGTTGTTAATTGTTGCTAATTCTCTTTCATATTTTTTTTCCTTTAATACTGCACCGTTCCAATCAATCTAAAATTATAATATTTAAAAAGAAGGAAAAATTTCTTAATCAAAAATTTTATTAAAACAAAAAAACAAAAGGGAAAACATTTAAGCAACATACATATTTACATTCATAATTATGTAAGTAAAATAACATTGTATTGTATATAGTATTTAATGAGTATTTTCATATTATAACTTAAATTCTTTCTAAAACATTATTATTTTTATTGCCTCTGTCTAAATGTATTACGAAAACTAACTGTTCTTTCACGTTTATTACTTCGTATATTAAATATTCCATAAACCAATGGGTTCATACATGAATTTGTTGATGCAAATAGAAATAATCCTTTTTGAATTTTTTGATCAATTAACATTGCTGATTCTCTATCTAACCAATACCATATTGACATTACATAATATGGTGTCCAACAGACAACAAAAACTATAACAATTGTTACTGTCATCCTTAATGTTCTTTGTTTTGCTTTACAAAGGACATCATCATTTGATCTACGGAAAAGTTCTAAAAATATAAAAATTTCAAATGAAAATGTTAATAAAAATTTTATGTATGAAAAATGTATATAAATATAAAAATATAATAATTTAAAACATATGGTTAAAATTATGAAGATTTTGTTGAATATACCCCCCAGTGTTATTATGTTGTAAGTCGAAAACGACATTTTGAAACCGAGTATGTTATAATCTCTTTTATTTTTGCTTATTTTCATTCGTTTTTCAATATAGGGTTGTACAGAAAAGCCTGGCAATATGAGAAAATGGGCTCTGCTTTTTAGAGTACAGTTAGGGATGTATGTTGTTAAACACTATGTATGTAATAACATAAAATGTATGAATTTACGATAAAAAATAATTTATTGAGAAATTTAAAAAACGACTGTAGTTCTTCTTTCTTTAATTAACTTGAAAGGTATGCATATTAAAGCTTTAGAATTTTAATTGGAGATGGTTTGTGGGATTAACTTTCCAAATTATTTAGAAAACTCTTCAAATAATGCAATATTTATGGTAAACTATTTACCATATAGTTTATATAGAAGCCAGAATGCTTAATTAACATAATAAAAGGCAAATAAAAGACCCATAAGAGTTCATTTCAGACATGATTTAAATAATGGCAAAACGTTGACAAAATTTAGCATAACTTATGTAGTATCACTGTTTTGTCGACGATGACTACGACTAAGTGTTATATAATACGTTAATTGAGCTCATATAAAAATATTCTAATAATAAAATTTGTGAAATATAAAGTTTTTTTACAATTTCTAGAAATTGTACTGAAAACTTGATTTCAATACATCCACGTTTGTTATTTTACACCTTACATTACAAATGTTATACACCTGTGTGTACTAAATTCATATAAACGAAACACAATATAATTGCATTATTAATTTTGTAAACAGAGAGTAAAGAGAGAAATTGTTTATTTCAAACTGACGTTTTAATAAGAGAAATTTACTCTCATGTCACACTAATGAGAAAAATTTTCATTCCTTCCTTTTACTATTGTGTAAGAATTTTGTGTCCGTAATTAAATACGTATGTACATATGTAGTATTTCGAGTTAGACACTGAATGTGACAAAAAAATTAAATAAATGACAATTTTTTATTTTTTATATAACAAAAAGAAGTATTAATTTCATTCTTACCCGTTTTATAAGATAAATTTTTTGATTTCTTATATATTTCAATATAAATTGATGCATAACAGAATGTTATAACAACAAGTGGAATTGCATACATAACTAGCATACACATAACTGAATATAAAACATTATAGATTTCATCTGGGAAACTATGAAATGTTACACATTGTTCAAACCATTTTACTTTTGGATGACTTTCTACATGAAAGATAAAAGCCTACTGCAAAGAATTGATTTTTTTTAAAAAAAAATTTTTTTTTATTGATATTATTAAAATTTTTTCATTTTATTTTATTTTACCTGCGGAACACTATGTACTGTTGATGAAATCCATGCTATAGTAAGCATTCCTCTACCACGAGTTTCAGAAATTTTAAATGGTTTAAGTACTGCATAGTATCTAAAATATGAAGAGTTAAAGTAAATTTAATAATTTTATAAAATTTAATAAAAAAAAAAACACTTAATGCATGTGCATAAATCCAAGGCGGAAAAATACATTTAGTTTTAGAGAATATGAATTTGAATTGATTTTCAAAAAACTGCTAATTTGAACTTGAACAAGTTTAGTTTAGAAATGCAAATTATACATTTTGGAAAGAGTTGTGATATTTTACACTGTACAGTTGTAAAATATTAAATTATACAGTGGGAAGAATTGTGATATTTTATCCACAATAAGTTGCAACAGAACCTATGTAAATTAATTGAATTAAGAGGTATTAATATTAAAATATATAAAGTACAAAATTTGTATGACCTGCGAACAATTTATTATTTGTTGTAACCACACAAATATTTAGTTGAATGAAAACAATTTATAATTGAAGTCAAAATTCATCTTATGACTGACTGTTCATTGCAAAAATTTAAATGTAGACAAATATAATATTTCTACCAACCGCATTGCATACAATAAAGGAAGTTACGTGATCTGAGCAGCAGGAAGGAAGCATAAATTAATTATTTTTAAAGAAATGTCGGTATGTCGGTCTGCCGGTTTATGTGTGCACGCGTGTATCTCAAGTTCGATTCAACCGATTTTGATGAAATTTTATATGTGAGTTTATTTTGGCTATGCACCGATTGATCAACATTTGGAATATATCAGACCTCAGGAATTTGATTTTTTTGTGGGCCGATATTCATATTTGAATTCGGGGTGTTAAAACAATGAATCTATAAATATTTTCGGAATGATCAGGGCTCGGCAATCGAGCTGGGGAATGCATTAATGGAATTGCTTGAAATTTGATATTTGAGTTCTGGTTGTTACCGAAAATAACTGGTGAGCTTTTCAGGGAATTCGGGTGGCACAAAATGAAATTCTACTAAGAGCCAAATTTACAATTTCCCAGGTATGTTAACTAAAAATTTGCTAACTTCCTTAAAATTAAAAACAAGTATTCGAAAGGTACATTTTGATAATCTTCTGTAACACTTTCACTAAACTAAGCATTACACATTGCGGTTGGTTATGTGCTAATCACATCAGATTTTTTTTTTTTTAATTCATAGACAATATTGTAGAGAAATAATTTACGTTTGAAAATATACACTGTACTAGAATTATTTACATATATTACGTATATACATTAAGTGTAAATTATAGAGGTAAACATGAATAATTACAATTTCAAATTGAATTAATATAATAATTTCTGTATAATAAACAATATTTTATTTATTGTAATTTACAATTGATACAATTAATTTATTATATTTTTTTCCAATTTAAAATAATAATTTCTATTTCTATTAATAATAAGCTTAACTACAGCTAAATAAATGCAAATATGTGTAAAAGCCAAGGTTAAAATTTAATTATGCATAATAATATTGTATTATACGCAATTAATCTTTACATACCATAGCACTGATTCAATAACAAACATTCATATACAAATAATAAAAATTAAAAAATTTTTACCTATCAATTGATATGCATACTAGAACAGCACTTGATAAATATAAACCGAATGTACGAAAGAATGCCATTATTCGGCACATTAAATCACCAGCAACCCATATAACAGTCCATGACCATGCTATTTCAGTTGGCATCATTAAAAATGTAACTAATAGATCAGCAATACATAAATTTATTAACATAATATCAATTCTAGAAGCACATCTTGTTCGATCTCTTAATAATAAATATAATAGTGTAATATTTCCAAGTGCTGAAGCTGTCATTAATATACTAAAATGAAATCACAAAAAAAAATATAATAATATTAAAAATTAATTGATAAAATTATAATTAACATTTGGAACAAATTATCAGCATGTTTTTTTTTTTATGTCTTTAAAATTTTAATTAATAAAATCACAAATTTGTCGAATTTTATGGAAATAAAAAACAAATTATTGCGACTTATCATTAGAACTACTTTTCAAAGTAAGTCTGATATTTTAATATTTACGAAATTTTCAAGAGTAAATTATCGAAAAGAAGTGATTTAAATATTTAGGGCTTAGGTGCGTATATTGATAATTTCTTCATGTTTTTTTTTATTTGAAATTCGAAAACTTAATCGTTTAGATTAGATGCAGAGAAAGATTTAAATTTTTTAATTTTTATATTTTTATCAGCATTAACTATTTCTTGTTTCTATCATATTTTTCTATAATACACAATATATATAGAGAAATCTTTGATTAATCTATAAAATGAACTTTGATTTTATAATGAATTGTATTGCAAAATGAATAATAAAAATTATTATGAAAAAATCAATTCATTCACAATATTGTTTAAAACAACATTTTATTTTGCATTTTTATAAGTTAATAATATGAAATTATTAGTCTGTGGTAATAAGGGAAAACTCCCTATAAGTCAATATTTTTCAAATATTTGAAAATATTAATATTTTTATGGGGCACTCTAAGATTCTAAAGTTACTTATCAGAATATTGTCAAAATTGAATCAAATTTTACTGGATTATAAGATTTTTGTAGAGTAGATAAGTTTATGAGTATATATTCAGAGAATATGAATTACATACATATAAGATACATTACAAATTCAACTTACAATTACAACAATTACTTAAATTACTTAAATTACAACAAATTATAATTCAACTTAGAAAATTTTGTCTTATTACCACAGATATTTATTTCATATTATATGTAAAACTCTAAATATCATGAATACATACTCGTATATGGTAAGTAAATATTAGTGACTCTAATATTTATTATGAATATATTGACTGTAATTCACAATATTAGAGTATGTAAGCATTTCTTATAGGAAATTATAAAATTTTCAGTATTTAAAATTAGAATAAGATTTCATTTAAAAAAAGAAACAAAGAACATATTAAAAATTTAATTTAAAAGGCTTTAAAATTTAATTACTTAATAATTTCAAAAAAATTTTTTATTTTTGAAAAATATAATGCATTCTCTTAAGCACATAATATTATGTTTGATAAAATTTCAATTTTTTTTAAATGTAATGCAGGAGTACAATTATGTATAGATCATCTTGAGAATTCAATAAATGAGTAATTCAGCTTGAGAATTCAGCAATTATATTCCATATTATTGGGATATGGATTTATTATATTAATTGATTTTATATTAAAATTCTGCGAAGAAATACGAAATTAAAGTTTTAGACTATATGAAGCACAAATAATATTAATTTTTCTTTGGAATTTTAAAAAAAAAAATATTTTAATACAAAAATAAAAATTGTAATATTTTAAATTTAAAATTTAATAAATGTAATTTAATAATTTTATATATAATATTAATATTAGATTATTAAAATTCTATAATTTTAATAATGCGGGTAGTCTACACGTTGCTAATATAGTATTCGATTCATAAATTTATGTGTTTAAACGAAATTCAGCAAATAATCTTAAAGCTGAATTAAAAAATTATTATACCAGATTATTATTACAGGGCATATAGCTATATTAAAATTATCATTAAATTGAATATTAAAAATTAATTTAAAGCCGGTAAGTCTGTATAGAATTATAGATTTTCACTGATAATATTTTGTTCTTACATACAAACAATGTAAACATTGTCAATTTAATTGTCAATGTTCATAGATAAAATAAAATAATTAAATAATTATTTTTGTTTCTAAAATTTATTATTTACCAACTAGTTACTAGCTATATAAATATTTATTTAATTTATTTGATTTATTTTATTTGATTTATTTATTTTTTTTTTTTGTTATAATAAAAACAATTGAGATTATTTGTTATTTTAGACTAATTTTTTTACTACTCACCTATAAACTGTTATTGATAAAACATGACCGTCATTAAATACCATATCAATTGGTAAAACAAATTCAGTTGTATTTGCTGTTGTTTTATTTTTTAATGCTGACCAATCTAAAAGCTTTCGATGATCTTGAATAATTTCATTAATTTCAACAGTTTCTTCAAAACTCATTTTCATTTTTTATTTATTTTTTTTTATTTTCAAATAATTTATTAATTTATTTAATATGTGCAATGTATAACATTTAAATTTTAATTGAAATATAATTAAATTTTTAGTATTTATTTAAGTAAATATTAATTATTTAGCTGAAATTATATTTTAAATTAAAAAATTAATTTTATGTCAAAGTAATATTGAAAATTATTACAAAATTATTATACTCGTACATATGTAATTTTTTTTTTGCTTTTCTTCCGATAAATAAAAAAATTTTAAAAGAAGCACTTTGAATTTTGAACTTTGCTTATATTACTCACAATATTATAAATATTTTTTGTTTTAAGGTCTTCCTTTACTCGTGTCGTATATTAAAGATTTTATATTTTTTTTACAAATATTTTCATCTTTAATTTTGATTTTCAAAAATATATTCTTATCACTATTCATTTGTTATCATTAATATAGAGCAAATTAATCAAAAAGACAACCAAGTCACGACTATATATATATATACATATACATGTATATTATAATTTATATATCATATATACCCGTTACATATTATATGTAATATATTATTTTAAATTTATTATATATAACAATATAGATTTTTTATTAAGTTTTATACTTAGACTGATGTTTTATTAATCTTTTACACTCATATATTAATCATATATATTTCGATTTAAAAAAAAAAAAAAAATATCTATATATTTTTAAAATATGAAATTCCGGGTACTCATATAACACAATCTGAAGCTACAGCTAAACTGTTATAATATTAGAGATTATAAATTTTTAATAAAATATGTGCGCTATATTATTAAATTTATATTTACAGAAAATAACAAAGACAAAAAAAAACGGAGAAATGGAAAAAAAAATTTTGTATATATGTATATATATATATTTATTATCTACAATTATTATGGAATTATTGTATAATTATTGGTGTTGATTTCAAATTCTATAGTACTGTACCTAAACAAAATAATATAATTAAAGAATGATAGCAAGTTAGAAGTAAAATTAAAAGTTTTCTTAAAAAGCACATTTTTATTTTATATAATTAAAATTAAGTTGTCAATGTTGAGGTGTATTGCTTGCCTAGATTTGTATTGGTGTATTACTTGCCTATTAATAAAAATGTTGGTGTATTACTTGTCTAGATTTATAAAGGCAAAACCAAATTTGTAAAATTTTTGGTTTCAAATTAGGTTTTTCGAGGAACGTCAATTATAATTTCTTTCTTGAGAAATTTCATAATATTTATTCTATATCACATAATTCATATGCTCGATTTGTATATAACATTTATAACACTTCATATTTTATTAATATACTATATACAAATGTTAATATACTATTGCATTTCAAATGTATAACACCAGCTTACATATAATACGGAGTAGGTACTGAAAAGGAGTATCTTATAGAAATTTACAAAATAGTAAATTCTCGTTGATGTCACTCAATCCACAGATAAATGTCACTAAATATAAGTCCATAATATGTATATATAGAAAATAAAATCCAACGGCTAACAAAATTTTCTAAAAGGTTAGAGAAACTGAAATGATGTATATTCCATTTTTCAAATAAATGTTGCGAATTTTTAGGTGAATCATAATTTTTAGGTGAGCTCTTTGAACGCTGTGAAAATTTCGGTGGCGTATTCCTAAAATTCCCGGAGCAATGATCACATCTCGCCTTATATTCCATATAGTTTCTTAAATGTGATATTCTGATTTATTTTGATTTTCGATTGTTTTAGTCAATTTAGTAATAAGATAATAAAAACTCTCTACGTGCGAGTTATTTATACAACAACTCAAGATGACATATACCTTGTTTTGTCCAAGAATAACTATTTGCTCACGAGTCGCCAAATTCGTTTTGTCACATTCAATAAGACTCTGGAATTCCTTTTCCGGCTCTAGTCTGAGATTCATTTGGATTCCATTTCTGTTAGAGAAAGTGTGTTTCACTTTGTTTAGGTATTTCAAGTCAGCATAATGTATTCGCTGTCTTTATTTTTCTTTCTATATTGATTAATATTACGAGTAGTGTGGAAGATTTGAATGGGTTAAGGTGGCAATTAGTGATGTTGCGTGCTGAAGGTGAGATTGAGTTGTTGTACAAATGAATGTGAAATTATTTTAAATATTTTTATTGCTGTTATGCATATAAAAGAACTTTTCTTAAATTGCACTTTTAATTCATAAATAAATTGAATAGATTTGGACAAACTGACAGTATTATAATGTAAGATAATCAAAAATATTCATATTAATCAGCACATTTTTAATTAAATTGTTTTTTTGTTGTTTAAAACATTCTTAGAATTAAATGTAAGTACATAAGTATATCTTTCTTGTCTACAGGAATTAATTAGTAAATTGTCTTAAAAACATTTTCATAATAAATAAATCAATAGAAAAACAAATTATTTTAACATTTTCATATAAAAATTGAATAACAGATTAAAATTAGAGAGAGAGAGTGAAAGGATAAAGAAATTTGGATTGTATCTAATTTATGTATGTATATGTCAGTATATATATGCATAATATAGATGAGGATTGGTAAAATTTAATGGAATACATTTTGATAGCATGCAATTAATATTAAATAAAATGATTTCAAGAGTACAAGTATACATTTAGTCTAATAATTGCAATTACAATGTTGTAAAATTAAGAAAATGAGACCCAAGTGTACAATAACACAAAAAGTTTTTTTGCTTACTAATTATACTATATACATATACATATATGTACGTATAGAGCAAAGTAAGTATATAATATAATATTGTAAATAAATTTGCATTAAATTATGTTTTGTATTAAACTTACTTTTAATTATAATTGTAGATAATGGTACAGGATGCGTAATTTACCTTGAAATTTCTTATCAGTATAATGTGAGAATTAAAACATCTAATGAATTTTGCATTTTGAAAAGTTCTCTGGTTGCACTCAACGTAAACGAGTTATAGTTGGAAGTAGTTCGTAAAATGGAATACTTAATAGCCTTCTACCGGAATAAATGCGTTTCACTACTTCTTTCAACAATACTGCTTTGTATATATTAGTTCGTTTAGTTAAATTTAGTTATACACCTAAAATATTATAAATTTGAAGTTTGATAGAGCCTTACTAAATGTTCTGCACACATGCTAAGTTTATATTCAATGGCACTAGCACTAAATTAATCGCATCAATATAAATATTTCTTCATTTGTTAATTTTGAGTTTTCTATTATTTTTAATAAAGTACTAAAATAAATAACTGTAAATTTTACCAAATACTTCACCATTTCGAGATTAATACGAGAATTGGGAACATGTATTTATGGGATTAATTTTATTATTCCGAAAACTAACAATTAATATAATTTAAAACTAACAATTAAATATAAAAAATATGGTCATACTTACTCTTTTAAAAATTCTTAAATTATAACTGTTTGTATTAGTACATAAAACACCCTGTTCATTCATATTTTAATAGGTATTTGATTTCATTTTTTGTGTATAAATATGAATTGCTTTAATCTATGTACATACATACATACAAATACATAATATAGTGTCTATAAAGTACATTGTTTCAAATTTTGTTTAGTATTGCCAGAAGTTTGAAATTTGAATGTAAATTATGAATATTTCAAAATTACTAAAATATGAAAAAATTATTTTGAAATAATTATTATATTAAAATGACTGAATGGTTTATTAAAAATTTCGGAATACCATCGCAATTAATAAAATTTTCACAAAATATTGCAACAAAATGGTTTCGTTAATTATCACATATTTATGAGTTAGAGCAATTTCATATTTAAATTTTCATAGATCTTTTAAAAGGCATAAATACGAATTACAGCTAAATAATTTAAACTACCGGAATTTCGATTTGATATCGGATCAACTTTGCAAGTCTATGTTGATATACATAATCGTTTTATACACCTATTTCATGTACATAATATAGTTAGTTAGTGTAGTTATAGATTCACAATCTATTCTGTATGAAACAGATTCACAATATATTTCTTGTCTGTGTATTTTATTGCCCCCTAACATGAATACATTTTTACCTTAAATAGTTCTATTAGCTTTTATAATAATTATAATTAATAATTTCGATTCGATTAATACGCAAAACGATGCTAACTGCAATCTCGTTTCGATTATGTGCGTTGATATTTTAAATGTCATATGAGACAGGTTTTATGATGAGAATCAATTACTATAAATTTCTCTTTTAAAAATTATTATGAGAGTTTTCGGGTTGATCAAAACATAAAGTTGAAATCTTAATTCTATCGATTTTTAATAAATTCCAAGTATCAAAAGTGAAAATTCTATTCAATTTCATCTTAAATTCATTTTTTATTGATATTTTTCAATACTTTTCATTACAAAATTTGTTAATTCATCTATATATTTGTATTTATGTTCATCTAATGAACTAAATAAATCACGTTTATGTAGATCCCTTGCAACATAATGATTTGGTAAGTTAACCTATTAAGAATATTTTTTTAATTACGTAATTCTCCTTCAAAATTATGGTTGAGTATTAAAAAAAACTTACCTTATGCCTTGCAATTGATTTTACAATCAACCATAAAACATAAAAACTAAACCAAACTGTGAAATATAATGGAATATACCATAATTTTCGACCTAAATAGAAATAACTGTATTTTTTCACTCTTGGTTCAGTATGTGGTTCTTCTGGTTCTGGTGGTGGTGGCGGAGGAGGTTCTGGAGCTGATGTTGTTGTTTCTTTAGGATGATGAAAATGATCATGATCATAAATTATATCTGGATATGAACTATAAATATTATTCCAAGGATTCCATGGACCATTATATTTTATTGGATGATTATCATAGCTATGATAATCAAGAAATGGTGGAATATGATCATGTGGTTTATGATGAATAGGATAACTAATATCGTGTATGTCAGGAGGACTATGAGAATCATGATGAGGATGGTATTCATGAGAATCATGAGAAACATGATGAGAATGGTATTCATGTGGATCATGAGAATCATGATGAGGATGGTATTCATGTGGATCATGAGAATAATGAACTTCGTGTGGATCATGAGAATGAATATCGTATGAATCGTGTGGATCATGTGAATCATGTGGATAAATATCATGTGAATCATGTAAATCAGATGGTGGAGGTGTATCTTGCTCAGGCATATCATCTACTTGAGCATTTTCCATCTTATGATCATCCATATCTGATATATTTTTATTATCTTTTTCAGAATCCGATGATATTTCTGGCATTGTCATTCTTTTTTCATCGGTTGTTTCATTTTTTTTCATTTCATATGGTAAATATTCAGGGCTAAGAGGTCCTAAAAATTGATTTTTTGGTAAATCAGTTTCTTTTTCTATAGGACCAGCTGGTGGTGGTATATAACTTGAAATTGGACTACTTGAATATGGTTTGGGTCCCGGATAATTAGATTCTAAATTTGGAGGGAAATTGTATATATTCTTAGGTGGAATGTAGATTTTTTGTGATTGTGATGCTTGAGCAATTGGATGTCTATTATTAGTTGGTATTTTTTTCTTATTTTTGAATAGTTCAGTAGCTACAGCTTCACCAGGTGTAAATCTATCAGTAGCGAAATCTGTAATATGAAATTGTTGTATGCTTTATGATTAAATTTTAATGTAATTTTTTAGTCTTAAGGGTTTAGGTAGCTCATAGAAGTACAAAATCCTTTTTTTTTCACAATTATAAATGAATTGATTTGGTTGTACCTTTTGAATTTTTAACTGGCAAAATAATTTGAGGTTGATCATGCTTATAAACAGGATAAATTCTTTGATTTTTTTCTCTTTCTTTATAATATAATTCCGGTATTTTTCGTAAATTTGTTATTATATCGGGTCCGGGTCTTGTTGCATATATAGCACGTCCTGTTGAAATATTTTCATTTGTTGATTGATTTATAATTTTTGTAATATTTTCAATCAATTTATTTTCCTTATTTTCCACTATTTCTGAATTATTTAAACTAAAAACAAAAAAAAGTAAAATTTTATTATAATCTCAATTAATTTAATTTTAATTTTATATTAACAACACTTTTGGGAGTATTCCATTTGTATGAATAATTTTTGGTTTATCAAAATTAGTTATCGTTTCACTATTATTATAATTAGAGCCAGTCTTTCGAACTGATGTATAACTTGTTTCACACAGTTTATAAGCATTTAATGCTATTAAAATATTTAAGATTAAACGGTAAAACATTTTTTTGTTTTTTTTTCTTGTTTTTCCTAATACTCTTTGTATACTTTCTTTAAATTAACACTAAACGATATTATGATTTTAAGTTACATGTGAACTATTTTGAAGCGATTTTCTTTTCTAACTAATCGTATCGCTATTAATAAAATTGAATATTTCTTTTAGAATAGTATGTAAAAAAAAAATTATATATTTAGTGATTGGTGGTGGTTAGTATGTGATTCTTTAATTAACACCTTGAGAAACGTTGCCCTAGAATTTTATATTATGAGTTTAATTCATGTTATTTAAAGAATATGAAGAAATTCAAATTACCTACGCATAATATGCGATTTGAATGCCATGAAAATATAGGTTAAAAAAAAAAAATCAATATTACAAGAATATATAATCATTTGTATGTATAGCTTTCTTTTTAAAATGTTTGCATTAAATGACAAATATATTATTAAATTTATTTAACATAACTAATTGTACATAATTTTATTCAGGAATTTAAAATTTAGAGCATATTAACAATAAAATATCAGTGTAAATGCCAGTATGTTATTGACGAGAAATGTTAAACGTTAAAATTCTAGAAAATAATCACTTGTTTGTGAGAGCATTAATTTCTTTATTTACTCACACTTTGATTGAGTTTTACGGCCTGATCGTCTATCTCGCTATCTTACTCGGCAAGTGAGAAGAAAGTGAGTAACTATCATATTTTTGTATAATGTAATTTGCGAGTGAGAAGAATCATTTCGGTATTGCGTATCTCGTTTTTTTCTAAAATATTTATACAAAATTTACTCACTTTATTTTTGAAAGTGAACGGAGAGTTCTGATTTGAAAGTAAATAAAGAGTGAGTAAAAAAAGCGAGATGCACGATTATGTTGTTACTCTCTTAAATAATAGCTGAATTAAAAATAAATGTAAATTGGGTCTTGAGTAGCTTAAGCTTTTATGCCATAGTTTTAATTGAATTTTACAAATGATTATGATTATAATAAATTTTATTGAATAAGGAATAATTATCTAAGAATTTTATTTAATTTTGAATTTAAAGCATTTTCTGATTAAATGAAATTTCTTATTTATTCTATAGTATTCAAAGATCTTGAAAATTTCAAAGTAATCATGCCCAAATTATATTTTTCAATAAAGAAATTCTCCAATTAATTGAAAATTTTTCATATTAGTCATCTTAAAATTCTTAAATTTCCTAAAAAATACTAAAAAAAAATTCAATAAATAAAACCAATATAAATTTTCAACGGAAGTATTTACTTCTTACATTTTATATTCTAAAATTTTATTAGGATTTACAAATTGTTCTTCATGTTTTTGTTCTTCAGAAACTGATGCAGTTAAAAACTTTATTTTATCTTTATTATTATTGTCTTGGCATTGGCTGGAAAGCGTATGATATTGTCTTTCAAATTGTTGATGAGACTGTGGTAATTGTTGATATTGATGTTCATAGCTAATTTGATTGCTTACAAAAGCTTCACTACAAATACCCGGATTACCAGCACTCTCCGGACATTTTGTTAAATTTTGTTGATGTTGATATTCAGAATTTAATCCATCATCTAACTCTCCTATATCGTGATTGTTTAAATGACGAACGCATAATTTTTTAAATAAACATACTCGAAGGCGATATAAAGTATAACATAAGAAATGAACGATTGCTACAAAAATGACAGCACATATTGACACAATAACTGCTTTACCCGGTTTTGTCCAATCTAATAAAGGATATATTGCAACACGATTAAGCCTAAAATTAGAACATATAAAAGAAAAAAAATTTAAATTAATATTATAATTAATTTTTAATATGGAAATTATTGATTCGTTTTGAGTTTAAGAAAATTTCTATTTAAATTTTGTAATTTAAATGGCCTATTCAATTTCGAAGTTTTTTTAAAATAATTATTAGTTTCCATTATTCCATTGCAATTAACTATAGAATATATGTACGTGTTCATATTGTTATTAATTCACACAGATGTAGCGAAATGCTTTGAATTTTAGTTTGAAATGAAATTTTTGGCAGATCCGTGTAGGACTTTTTATGGTTTCAGAAATCAGAGCTCAAAATTTTTGATCTAATACTGAATTTATTTGTGTTATGAAGTCTTATGAGTTAAAGTCGTTTTTTTTTTTGTATTAATTTTTTTTATTGATTGAGGCATGCAAATTCACTATCGATAAATAACTTCAAATATGTGGATTTACTAAGTAGTTTCATATAAGTAATAAGATTTACAAAAATATTCAAAGCTTTTGGACTTAAAAATTTTTTGTCTTAATTTTTGAGAATTACACCAGAGCTGCGAGCACGAATTCCAAAATAATAATCTTTACAGAGAAGTACATGGTATCTGATTTTCAAAACTATATGTGGGCGAAAGGACTGCGTCCCAATTTTCAGTGAGAACAAAAACATTAAATAAATATTTTAAAAATGTCTGTGCTATTGCACGAATTGCAGTCGTTCTTAGCCGCTTAGTGCTTGGTATTCATTTTAACATAGGTTACAGATTAAATGTGTGAAAAGCTAAATATGTGAAAGGCTATTTGTACATATGAAAGGCTAAATGATTTTCTTATGTTTAAAATTATGGCGCTTTTACAACAGTTTCACTTTCTTGAACCAGTTAAGAACCTAAATAAGTATAGATACATGATATATAATACTGTGTATATATATTTATTTACAAAAAAAATTGAAAAGTTAAAATTAATTAAAAATAGTTGTAAAAATTTTTGGTATACCTGTCAGTTCCTCCCGCTAAATAATATATCCCCGTAAATAATGCATAAATAGCACCAAATACTGTTGTATAATATATATGACCTAATTTGATAGGATGTCCAACAATAGCCAAATCAATTAACATTATCACAGAGTTGAAAACATGTACCATAATGTTCAGCGTATCAACTTTATGAATTTCTAAAATAACAATAAAAAAAAAAATTTAATTTTAAAATTAACATGGTGTTGAAAATTTTCTTATTATTTTTTCTTTATTTTTTTTTTTTGTTAGAAATATTTATATATATGTAGGTAATTAAATTTAATGTAATAAATATGTGCTCCTATATTTGAAAAAAAAAAAACTTGAAAACATATGTACGATTACATGTTAAGGATAGAGAAATCAATAAAAAGAAGAATAGAAGAAAAAATAACAGAGCGAATCTGTAAATAATCAATAGTGTTTGTAAAGATGTGTAAATTGTAATGCTGTGTGCATCCATTTGTATTCAATTCACAATCAACCAACGCACATATGAATATTGAATTTATATTTTTGAACATGAAGGATACTGATATGAGACGATATTTCCAAACATTATAATAATTGTTAAATAAGCAGTTCATTTTCGTAAAAGGGAAATTAAATTTTTTTCATGCTATACATACATATGTATACATTTGCGTATAATGTAAGATATAAGCCATATTTTTAAGTTCCGTTTATTATATGATGTATATGAAATTAAATTATATTAGATATACGGGCATGAATATCCGCAAAAATTAGAAAATTCACAGAAAATCAAAATAAAATGCTTACAAAAAGTTTTTACACGATCACACGCTCTATATTATATGCAAGTGTATTGGCATGTGTTAAGACCGTGAACGTATTATAATAGAGGAAAAAGAAGATTGAGGTATAAGGAAATGAAAAATGAAATTTATATGGAATTTAATAATTAAAAATACACAACATTAAAATATATGCAAGAATAAAATTCAGGTAAATTGAACGTGTTAAAAAAATATTAAGAGAGATAAGAATGTTTTTTTCAAAACGTTTAGTTTTACAAACTTGTTATACATATAACATTTAAAACTTGTTATACATATAACAGAATGAAAGAAATTAAAAATTTAATAATCAATAAAATATTTGGTGTGTTTTCAATATAATAAATTTATATTGATTAATTATGTAATCGCGCATCCTAACCTTGAATTTCAATACTTATGAGAAACATACGAGATCAATTGCTTTAGGTTAATCCTTATAAAATTTAGCATACGAGTATGAATTAAAAGAGTTCATTATATTCTGATTACTGCTATATAGATTATAAACCAAAAATAAACCTTTATATTTTAATATATTTAACGAGGCTGATTTTGCTGATTAGAATATCAGTTGCTTTAACTGGAAAACACTCCGAAACGGACTGTATAAAGGAACACATATAGTTAAAAGAAGTATTCACGCATATTAATTATAGTAGATAGGAATAATTTTTCTGAAAAATAAATTCCATGTTAGTGGAATTTCGTTAATGCAGTTTGTAGATTGAGCTTCCGCACCCCGCCCAAAACAAAAAAACCATTATAGTTTTTATGTTTCGAAGTACGTATAAGAAAATTAGTTAAAAAACCCAATAATTCGATTTTCAACCCGTTTTATAGAAAGCTACCCAATTTGTCAATAATCCTTCCTTTAAATGAAATCTTTTTTGTGTCAATAACCGGTTGGATTAACTTGAATCAGAATTTTGATAAATATCTATTAATAAAAATTTCTTATGTGAATTAAATTTACCAGATAATGACTATTTATGAGTGTATGTGTGTGTGTGTTCATAAATTTATTTTTCAAATAATTTTTGTAAAACTTACCAGGATTATGAACTAAACACCAATAACACAGTGATATTATAAATGAATATACTGTTGCTACCGTATATAATACCCAATATATATTATGAAAATAACTTTTATTCATTCTTCTAACAAGTTCAAAATCATCTCGACGTACCATCATACCTTGTGTTACAATCCATGCAGCAAACCATGCTTGTATTGCACATACTAATAAACCCCAATTTGTTAAATAAATCCACCATTTTGCATAATGATTTTCAAATTGTTCATCAGAAGAATGACCAATATCTAATAAGGAACAAACTACCACTGCCAAACAAGTAATTGCTGTAAGCCATCGATAAAATAAATATAAAATACCAACTTGTGTTCCACGTTGCCACTGTTAAAAAAAAAAAAAAAACATTGAAAGAGAAAAGTAAAAAGAATAAGAAAATCAAAAATTAGAATGGTAGAGAAAAAAAAAATTTTTTTTTTTATTTCTTTTTGATTTTTTAAATTTGTTTGTTTGTTTGCAGTTTTTTTCATTTTTTTTTTATTATAAATTATAAAAATATTTGACATTGACGTTTATTTAAAATCTTATTTATATAGTAAATTCAAAGATATAGAAAAAAAATAATAATAATATAATTATAATAGTATTGTAGAATAAGTAAGGACATGTCAAAACAATAATGCTGCTGAATACTTAAATACTTTTATATATACATACATACATACATACTCGTATAACAGATATATAATACTGACAATATCAAAATCCATTGGAAGGTATTTTATGTCATAGTAATATTGATTGCTCCAGAAAATTTATATATGGGTTATGGCACACATACTAGATTTGATTTTTGATTTATAACAATGGAATATATTGAAGAATTAGGTTTGTTGCTTGATTTATATAACAGATTAGTCGTATAATGAAATAAGTTAGGCATGTATATATAAAAAAATGTGTAGAAGCATTCTGTATAAAGATTAACCTAAAGGTATACCAAGGGTTTCTTCGGAAAGCGTTCTGTGTAAAATTAAATATTTTAAAATGATTTCGGAAAATCGACAAATGTTAGCTTAGTTTAACGTTACTCGTTAAACACACAGTTCGTAAATTCAATTACGGACACAGGAAATAGTGAAGGAAGCTCGGCTAACGACTTATCGACTTCTTTCTGACGGGAACGGAGCAGGGCGGAAGTTTGCCTACAGGACTTACAGAGAATTCATTGAGTGCAATTTCATTCAGGCTATAACCATGTCGGATTCCTGTCTGCGACGGTACACAATTTTGACTACATGAACAAGGTTCCCAGAGACTTGTTTCTCGAACGGTGGACGTGGGATCGAGGAGGTTATGTACTTGAATCGAATTCAAGCGTATCGTATGCGGAAGGCTCCAAGGCTGAGTCGGGTGTTGGCCTAGGCGTATATAGTGTCCACCTGGAAACGCGCACACGTGCGAGACTGGACCCGTATGGCACGGTATTTCAGCTCGAAATACATGCAATAGAGATCTGTCTGGGAGTCAATTTAGAAAGGGAATATAAAAATGGTTAACTTAGAAAGGGGCTAGAAAACAGTAGACTAATGGTTCGAATCTAATTGTTTTTCCTCGAGAAAATGTTGAGTCTAATTGCTCTTCCTCGAGTAATGTGAATAATTGGGAGTGATGTACAGTTTATTTAATTTTGCTATGCCAGGGAGTCTTTTGAGAAACATTTTTTTTGTAAAAAAAATATATTTGCAAAGTTAAGTAAATTGGTTTTAAAATTCTAGCGACATTCTTTTTATGCTCTCTTTATGTAGGTATCTCAAAGATGATTTGATCAACTTTAAAATATCCTCGTTTTGTTATGTAAACATTTTTATGTTGTTTTTCTGCTCTTTTTAGCTATTATATGTGGAGGTTGGAAATGAAAAGTTATAAGATTTCATATATACACTTATATATATATATATTCATATATATCACTCTATATATATATATATATATATACATTAATTTAAACAATTTAATCTGGAGCATGTTGTAAGATAGAAAAAAAAATTTTTTTTTATATATACATTTCTACAATAGCCTTGATATTTTACAGTTGTTTCTATTGTCCGCCTTGATGTTTTACTAAATATAGAAGAATTTCAATATCTCTATATATACCCATCATACATACGTATATAAAATATTATATTATGAATACATATAGGCAAATTAAAAAAAAAAAATTTTTTTTTGTTTGATTTAATATAAATACTGTCAATTATAAACATAATATTCAATTTAATTTTATTAAAGTTGGTTTGAATATATATATATATATATAAAAGAATTAAGTAATTAGAGCGCAGCTATATATACTCATAAAATGATTGAAATATATTATCAGGCTATTTAGCATTCGAAGTAATATTAAATATGAAGAACTAACCTACATTTATGTTTCGAATTTAAAATGGGTTAAATAGTTAAGAGTGTGACTAATACAGAATATTACTAGTTAGTATGGAACTGATTTTTTAACTGATTAAAAGAAATATAAGACACCAGTTTACAAATGACTAAAATAAAAAATATTTTATTTTGCAAATTGCACTCCGGCCATTGTACGGCCGTTCCTTATTAAGTTAAGTAGGTATGCGGAGAAATTATCAGAAATTTTGACGTATTGCTTTGGGTGTGTTTACACTCTTCTGTTATGCAACTGTATATAAAATCATTTTATCATTTTCTAACAAATTAAAATTTCGGCCTAAAAAATCAGGAAAAATACCAAATTTTGACGTACATTATACAGAACGCCGTATTAGACCGAATTTATGCATGATAAGACATTTAAGAAATATTACATATTAGATTTACATTTTGTCAAAATATAGTTTATAAAATTTTCTCTAATTTTATTTTTCTAAATTTTATCCCAAAAATCTGTTCACCTTCAACAAAATCTGACTTATTTTCAGATCAATATAAAAATGGCAAAAAAAAAAAAAATGAAAAAAAAAAATTTTTTTTGTAGTAATTTGAGAAGGTGACTGTCATTTCCACAAACACGAAAATTAAAAAAAAAACAAAAATTTATTAAAACTTTTTTTTTAACACCATTGTGTTTTGCTACTTGAAAATTCAAAAGTTTTTAAAAAAAAATTTTTTTTCTCCATTTTCATTTTTATTATAAAATTTAATTGCATACTTTTGGGCAAACAAAATTACCACTTAGGAATCATATAAATTTTATATTGTTGTTACATAAAAGCTAGAGTAAAAGGCAAAAATATCAATTTATTTTTTTTTATTTTCCATAAATAAAAAATGTTTTTTTTTTGTTCTTCTGTTTATTGGGCTTGCTCTAAACTCTTTGATTTTTGTTCTTTTTCTGTTGTTCTTGTTATAATTTTTAAAGGGCTCTTTATAACATGGCAAAACAGTAAAAATTATTTAGAAATAATAAGGAGAATAAAATAATAATGACGACTACTGAGAAAACAAAAAAAAGACAAAATTTTTCTCTCTTTTTTTTTTGTTTATTTTTGTTCTTAGTAACAATTCTGAAAATGACAACTTTGAAAAAAACTTTAGGAAAACTAAAAGTATCTCTTTTTTTTTTTTTTAAAAAAAACTACTGCATTGTATTGTTATTTTAGTTTTTTTTTTTTGTATTTAGAAGATTGGACTTCATGTAATTTATAATTGTAAAATTTTGTAAAAAAGCAAAGTTTAAAATGTCAATTTGTTTCTTTGTTTTTTTTAGGACTTGAAAAATGAATGAATAAAAAATAAGTATTTCGGAAATTGCTGTAAAAACTGGTTTAAGTGGATACATAGCTATATAGAATTTTAGATAATGACATTTATGTAGGTAGGTATATGATAGTTCTATGAAATTATTGTTATTACATAATTTTAGGGGTAACGTAAAATGTGCAAAAGTACAAATACATTTCCGACTTTATGAACTTCTTATTGAGAGTAGAAAAGCAGTAACAAAATATTATGAGTTTAAATGAATTTAAATGGTCGAACTGCAATACGAGTAAGTTTATATAGGCATACTGATTTCTCTATTCTTCTTCTGTATACTGCACAATTTTTTTGTAGTATAATGGTTTTGTGGCTTATTAAATGAATGTTAAAAATAAAGAGGATATTTGAAAGAAAAAATTCAATATGAATAAATTTGATGGCATTGATGTCGTTTCTCATATTCCGATGATGTTTTTTCTTCGAAACAGTATTATCTACAATATTATTCACTTTAGCGATAATAGAAGGAGATTTGACAGTATTTTGAAAATGAAGAGAAAATTTCAATACTGCTACTTTTCTCAATTTTTAAATTGCTATTATGTTACAATACGGAGATTTTAAGAAGAGAATTTGTGCTTGATTGAAATTGACAACATAAAGATTGAATATTCAATGGGATTGCCTATACTTACGAATCTCTTCGACAATTATATTGGTAGAAATATCATGATAATTTTTATATCAAGGTCGTTTCTGAGATATATGAGAATTATTGGCCCATTATAAGGAGGTAAATATGTATTTGATCGAGGGCATCGGCTTTTTTTAAATACAAAATGCGAAATTTCAATTAATAAGGCTTTTAAAATTTAAATATTTAGTTTTTGTAACAAAAATATTTAATATATAATTATTTTGTAATTTCTTACCTGACATAAATAAAAATTATGACGATGTACTTGATATTCTGAATGTAATTCTGGAAAACATTTATTCCATATTTTACTAACCATCATTCTTTTCGTACTATGTATATCATCTGAACAATAGGTATTTCTACTAAAACTATGATGTGTATCGATTTTATTTTCTTGTTGTCTATTATAATTATTATTATTATTATTATTATTATTAAATGTATTACGATTTTTTATTGTACAGCTATAATTATTATTTTTGGCTCTATTATATGGATCTTCAATACTATCGTCACTTTGAATCTGTATAAAATCACTTTCAAGTGCACCAATTATTGGTCGACCACTAGTAGTATTTTCACAACTTAATATTGAACCTCTTTCACTTGGTGTACGTGATGCACCTTCTGTTGGTGATGTTGGTGTTATTGGTGTAATTAATTTAATTGGAGATATGGCAGTTGTTGAACGTACTTCAAAATCAAAATTATTATCAGCACTTGTTATAATACCACCGTATTGATAATAAATTGGTTTATGTTCTGTTTCAATATCCCTTGATGTTGCTGCAATATCACTATTATAACGATATTGAAATGGTTTTGTTTCACAAACGTATGATTGTATTGGGGGTATTTGATAACTATAATTATAACGATATGATGGTATTTCATTAATCGGTGGAGGATAATATACACTGCGACCAAATTCAACACGATCGTTATAAGATTCAAATGTGTTCAATCTGTTGCGGGTTAACTTTGTGTGGCCAAATATATTTGGCTCCGTAGAATTATAAAATGAATAAGCCACTTCTGTTTTAATTTAACGTTTTTGTGTGAAACGAAAGTTTTTTTTTTTTTTTGTTTAGTTGAGCATTTAATAGCAATCAATAATAAATATAGAATGAAATTTTTTTCGTAAAAATTATGAAAAGAGTATGTCGCCGTAATTAAAATAAAAAAACAAGTATAATAGCTTTAACCTGGAAAAAAAAAATAAAAAAATTTAAAAATAAATTTATTTTCCATTAAATATCAAGGTCAATATATTATTTAATTGTTTCTCAAATTACATTTTATCAATTTAATTAGATCTTCTACATAACTTATATGATGGCTACTAGCTATACTACACTACGAGTACTATACTGTTTGGGTAAATTCAAAACAAAATAATTATGATATAGTTTTCATACATCGATCAACTTTTTGACCTTATATGCGAATATTTCGTTTCAATCGTTTAAATGAATATCGAGTTATATACATACATATTTACACATAAAAATAAATTAATACGCACAAGTATATTACAATTATATTCTGGCCCTTAAATTTATTCTTAAAATTACTATATGAATTTAATATTTTAATTTTGTATGATCCAGATACAATGTTGCATTGTATAAAATAGAAATTTCAATAATGTTACTGTAGGTACATTTGATAAGCATATGTATGTATGTATAACATATCCAACATTTCTGCATAAATTATGCATCCAATGGTAAAATTTTGAATTTTATATCGGTGAAATTATGCAAATAATAGTAAATAAATTTTACAGACAATTCTATCAAATTTATAAAATGCACACTACATACATAATTCTGTATTAAAATATCCTCTGTACTCTACATACAAAAAAGGTTTAATCTTATTGTCAAACATTATCATGCAAAATTATTTTGGTAATCAGATAAAGAATGAGAGAAGTATTTTAAGGCATAGCTAAAATGTGAATAAAAGTAATTGTATAGCAGTAAATTTCAACCAAAAGCGAAAGCGAACCGAAAATTTTTTATTATTGTTAATAACGCATATTCGAGTGCCTTTTACAGAATTGTGAAAATATTTTTTTTCCTTAAAAATTTAAGATTTTGATCGAAATATTCAGATTTAATTTCCACAATAAATTGAGTTAAGTCTTTTCTATTGTTATTATTTCTTAAATAATTGTCAAAATTTTAAAATAATATTTAAAATTATCATTACATTAAAGCATAACATTCGAACTAGTAACCTGCTATTTTCTAGTCGAACATTCTACAAAATTTAGCTGTAGAATCTTTAAGAAAGAAGGAACTAAACGTTCTTGTTGGATTATAAAAATTATCTTTCATATTCACGTGGTAGGTAAAAAAATCTAAGCAATATTAAGTCATATTTTGTTATCACTCAAAAATAATCAGTCACTTTAAACTATGTATATTCAATTCTAGAAAACGCATTGTTTCCACTCACAATTTTCCATTATTAATTTTTAATATTACAATAATTTTCAATGTTGTTTAAAAAAATTAATTCTTACAACGTATTTGTGGCATGAAACCGAAAAAAAACTATATTTTTCTATATTCGAAACATTACCACTGTTGTCATACCTTCAGTCACTATTAAAACGAATGTAAATATTTAAATTTTCACATTAATCTTTTTCTAAATCAAATATAGCAATATCGCTATAATAGTAATCTTAATGCCCGAATTTGATATTATGTCAAAAGTCTATTACTTTAATTAATTACTTAAATTATTTATGACTGACATGCAAATATGCATATTAAATGTTTTAAATTTAATAAAATTATGTCAATTTAGCACAAAATCTGAAATTTTTCTAAAATATTATTATTCAAGTAACATCACGTTCCAAAATTATTTTCGCAGATTTTATTAACTTTTTTTGATAATATGCTTAAATTTTAATATTATAATTCAATAAATAAATTTTTCTGGTTCACAATTTTGAAGAGATTTTAGATAAAACTATAAAATAAAAATTGTGATGTGGTCAGCACATAATCCACCGCAAGGTGTATTAATTAATTTAGCAAGAGCTTTGCAGAAGATTATGAAAATGTCATTTAAACATTTCTTTCCAAAAAGTTAGAATTTCACTTTGTGCCATCCGACTTCTCTAAAAAAATTGGTCAATTATTGCTGATAGAAAACTAAACGTAAATATTGAATTTCAATAAATTAGTCAACTAATTTGTTAGATATGGTGGTCAAAAATATAAATTCGGGCTGTTCAAAGACTCAGTTCATGAAATTGATTAATCTGTTACATAGCCAAAATAAGCTCATATATAAAATTTCATTAAAATCGGTTCAGCCGAACTTGATATACACGCTTGCATACACAGACTTACAGATCGACGGGCCGACATATTACTATTTTTTATTAACCTTCCTTACCATGGATAAATACCTTCCCACCGAAAACTTGCCATGAGAAATTTGATATCATCGCATAACCTCCCTTATTGTACGTAATGTCCATAAAAAAAAATCATAATTACGTTCGTATAAAATTTTAATTATTTTAGATTTTCCTGATTTTTTTTTTTTAGAAAATAATTTAAAATGTAAATAGAGATGGATAATTAAGCAGAAAAATTAAATAAATGCGCACTTATATACACATACTTTCATATAATAATTAATAATATACACACATACATACAAGCACATACAATGCACACAGTTCCTATGAATTAAGTTTATTGTGTAAGAAAAATTTAAAACTTTAACCATGAGTTAAAAAAATTTTCTACAAAACAAAAAATACTCTTTAAAAATGTCCACTAGATGTCGTTTTTTTGACATATGTACATACATAATGTACTTCCGTTCAAGGCTTTTGTTAATTCAAAATTAGTTTGTGTAGTACTAAATGTCATAATATATAAGAATTGCTATTGTGAATTAATTTTTAAATAAGGAAAATTTGTTTTTTTTCTTTGTATTTCCCTCTGCCTCATTAAAATTAACAATTTTACATTTTTTATGGAAAAATATATTGTGCAACATTTTAGTTAAATTTTAATAATTTGTGGTTTTTGCATTTATTTTATTTAAATAATTAAATGCGAAGTGCAGTTGCCAAGAAAAAAATTATTTTTATATAAAAAAAAACAAAAACAAAAAAATGTTGGAATTTATATTGAAATTGAATTTTTTTTTTCAGAGAAAAGGTTAAAACACAAAAAAAAAAAACCATACTGTTCGCATTGCAAGATGAAAATAAAAAAAAAAAATTTATGAGGTTTAATTCACCTTTACATTCAAAAGGAAAAACATTCCATTTTCTGACAAAACATTTTTAGCATATTTCCCATAAGAAAATTGGAAATTGCTACTAATTTCACTTTGTTCGTTAGTGTGTCCGTTTCCAAAAATTCAACATCTTTTAAGGAACAAAACTAAAATTGTACACGCAAATAGATTTTTGCGAAAATTCTATAATTGTGAACTGTTGTTGTTGTTATAAAACCGTAAACTAGCCACCGGAAAAGTGCGGCCCATTCAACCTAAAAATGTGGCCCATTATACTACCTGCAAATGAAAAATATATTCGATTGTGTATTCGATTCAATCATAGACAATAGACATAAGAGCAAAACAAGCAATAAAGTCAGTTGAAAATGTCATTTTTCTTGTAAGTAGATAATGTAAGAAACTCGACCGGCACATAATTATACTCACATAGTATACATATTTGCATATAACCAACAAAAGTTTGCCGAAGTTCTGCGTTTAAACCATTGAGTTTTCAGAAATTTTTAACACCTGTTTCCTCTTATATACACGGTAAATTAAATTTTATTGTTGGAACAAAATTTTTTCCTAGTTCTCCTTTCAAATTGACATCAATTAAAATATTAGAATAACCTCAATTTTCGGCTTCCTATTTTTTTTTCAAAACAGAAATTTTATACAAGCAAAACATTCACGATAAAATGATTACTCACCTCGAATATATTAGACCATTACCATTGCTTCTTTCTTTATTAATGCTTCTATTAATTTCTTCGCTTATCCGTAAAGTATGCAATAATTATCATGTATTTTTGTATGATAATGAGAGTATATTATGTAGTTTAAGAATAAAATTGTTTTTTTAAAAAAAAAAAAAAATTTTCAAATATTCAAGTGAGATGTGCTTTTTTACAAACCACTGGTTTGATTTAAAAAAATTTATTGTAAATTAAGAAGGGGCACATACGTTGTTCATATGTATATTATATAATAGACATTATAGATATGTATAGGATGTGTACATAATATGTGCTTTAATGAATGTTATTGATGCACAAGAACAAAAAATTCTTTGAATATGCAAGAAAATAAATCTTTGTTAATGATTACGAGTTTTGTTCTTGTTTTTTTTTTGGTTTTGTTATTATTGTGTGCTTTAAGAAGAAAAATTTTTATAGCTTTGTTATTAAACATTGATTTAAAAGAGCTCAAATATAGCTTTGGTTGCTAGATATTAGAAAGAGATTGAAGAAAAATTTCTAAATATAAAATTTCGTTTTTATTAATTATAAATTATAGGAGCTTAGAAAAATTCAAATGTAATTTAAATTAAAATTCTTATGCCATCACAAGGAAGGTTGATTGAATTAAGCGGAGTTGATATACATATGGAATATAAAAAAAGGCTGTAAGAACATGCTACCTAACGTACAGGCCGGTGAAGATTATTACGCCATTATTTTTTAAACACTTTTTTGAAAATGAATTGAATTTTAAGAATTTTAAATATTTTTAGGAAAACAAATGGCCGCAGATTCATTTTCCATACAAGAGAATTTTAAGTCTTGACCGTAAATAAAAGAAGAGACGGATATTCGAGTACATACATATATAGGTATGCGTACAGAAATTATTTTTGCCCGGAATCGTAATAGTATATGCTTAAAAAACCCACAAAGAAAAATTTTGTCTGCCTGGAATCTTAGATATACAAAACGTGAGTATCTTATTGTTTCATTTCATAAAATAAAATCATAATGGACAGGCTATTAGACAC